TTTTATTTCTTTTTGGTTTATTGTTTTTGGCTCTGTGATCCTGGGGGTCAAATCCAGGACCTCACGCCTGCTCAGCAAAGGCTCTACCCCCATGTTACATCCCTAGCCAGACAGTACTGCTAAAACTTATGAGAATTAATCAAGGTAACATAACCCCCCAAGCTGTCAAGACCTGATTCACTGAGGTGAAGCAACTTGCCGGATAACTTTATGGCTGAGAGTGACAGCGCTGGTTTTAAACCCTGGCAAGTTGATTCTACAACCTGTGCACTTTGTCATTCTCTAAGGTGCCACTAAAGGAGCTGTGAATCATCTAAGCAATCTCTAATGCTTTGGGGAGGCAGGTAGTGTGCCTTGAAATACTGGTCTTCACTAAACTATTGTGCTATTTAAATGTTAGGATGGTCATACTAGCAAGAAATCCGTATTGTGAAGCCACTGCCTGTCTAAGGTTTGGCTCAAACTTAGCCCTCGAAGGAACCTCACTTTGGCAACTTCAGCCCTTCTTCCAGCCTCCAGCTTGTGTCACTGTACACAGAAGCCTGTAGCAGGCTGCCTCAAAGCAATGTCTGTTTTCTCCAAGGTAGTTTATGGGAAAACTATTAAGTAAGTTCCCATCATTGCTTGCCACTAAATGATGAGTTCTTTGTGACAGCAACAAATTAAGGTAAACAAGCATCCAACAACATCTTATTGTGGGTCAAAGGGTTCAGAATCAACCTCATTATAAGTTACAGCCATGTGACGTGTTTAGGTACTACCAGAAATGAGAACGTCAATGTGACAGGAAGAATCACAACCTCCGAACTGAACCCAAATACCCCTGACATACTATAAAAGAGATGCCCCAAGAGGACAATAAATGTTTAGTGCTAGCTATAATAACTGTATTTTTAAAATAACATTTAAGGGGCCGAGGGGTATAGCTCAGTGGTAGAGGGCATGTTTTACGTGTGAAAGTCCCTGGGTTTAATCTCTAGCACCAAAAAAAAAAAAAAGAAAGAAAATTTTAAAATAACATTTAAGAAATTTCTTAAATTACTTGCTTATACTTTAAGATAATGTACAATCTTGCTTTGTTAGTGCTGTGCTGTCCTTCTAAAAGCTCATCTGATTATCCTGACCTCTCTCCCAAGGGATAAAAAGGAAAGTTCTTAGCTTTTTATAGAATGGAGCCTCTAGAGCCCTTCACTTCAGGGATTTAGAAATATCTTTCCTGTCTCTGTTGGAAAAAAAAGAAAAAGAAAAGACTAGAAGGGAACATAGAGAAATTATGGTGGTTGGGACATGAGAATTGTGTCTAGTCTGTAAAACTCCATCTTAAAAATACTTCTTGTTCTTTTGTAATTTATAGTATTAAATGCTCAGAGCAAGGGCAACAGATGCAGGAGCCTGACCTGGGAATAGAGTGGGAGGCGCGGGAAAGGTGGGCTTGCAAAGGGAGGGGGGTGGGAAGAGCTGCCTACAATCTTCCTGTTTTGACTGCTGCTGATTCATGAGAGAGGCTGTTCTGGTTCACTGGGAGTCTTAACTGTCCAAAATAAAAAAATTTTAAAAAGAAAACAAAAAATTGCTCCAACCTGATGCATCTTTGGGTGGGGAGGTTTTCTCCTTTGATCAGTTAAAAATGGAAATGGCTCTGATTTAGGAATTGAAATCCCCAATGTCCCCATTCACCTTTTCAGGAAAATATGAAATGGAATCCAACATCAAATCATTAATGCCATTAGGGATAAATATGTAAGCAAACAAACCTTGTCTCCCCAGAATCCTGAAAGATTCTAATTTAAAGACAGATACTTGATTTGGATCTCAATGCATGCTCGCTCGCTCTCTCTGTCTCTGTCTCTCTCTCTCTCTCTCTTTCTCGCGCTCTCTCTCTCTCTCTCTCTCTCTCTCTCTCTCTCCCCCTCACTCTCTTTTCTGTTCGAGATGGGGCTTTCTGTGAAATTCTGGCTGGTCTTGTGCTCACCTTTATAGCCCCCAGGCTGGTTTTTTGTTTTTTCCTGCGGAGCCAGGGATTGAACTCAGGCCCTTGCGCTTTCCAGGCAAGCGCTTATTCAACTGAGCTATCTCCCCAGCCCCCAGGCTGGTCTTGAACTCATGGAAATCCTCCTGTCTCAACCTCCTTAGGATTATAGGCACCACGCCAGAGGGATCCAGGTCCAGCTTTTCATGGGGGGGTCGGAGATCAAACTCAGGTCCTTGTGCTTGCCAGGTAGGTGCTTATGCCTCTGAGCTATCTCCCCAGCCCCCTTACCACTCTTATGTGGAAATCCTTTAAGAAGATCCATCTGCTCTAGAGCTGATCTAAATAACTGAGTCTTTTCCAGAGCTCACCCAGGATGGAACCTTGGTGAACTTGCCACAAATTTTTCCATCCATACTGGAGAACAGTTACATCTAACATGCAAACCAGGGGTGAGCCCAGCTCCAACTGCATTTCTCCTGGCTGACTTGTTAATTTAGCGGGTCATTTGTTAATTCAACATTTATTGAACATCTATTATATAGAACTAGAACTACTATGAGTTCTTTGTGCACAGAGATACCCAATCCCTTGCTTACAGGAACTATGCAGTTTAGTGTTAAGAAAGGGATTGCAAGGACCGGCCAAATAGCTCAGCAGATTAAGGGGAAGGGGGAGGGGCTTGCCTCTGGCCCCGCCCCCGGGGCGCACTGGGCGGGCAATTGAGACTGGGCGTGGTGGTGCGCACCGGTAATCCCAGCTCTTGGGACGCTGTAAACAGGTGGATCACTACGAGTCCCATCTAGAAGTGAGACCCTGAACACCCTGTAGACCCTTCCCTAAAATACAAAAGAAAGAAAAGAAAAAGAAAGAAAAGGCTTGCAGAGCTACAATTAAAATCCAGTTGTTTGACTCGGGCTGGGAGAGGCTAGGGCTGAGCAAAAGAGTGAGAAAGGTATTAGACAGGAGAAAGGTTTGACTTGAGTCTTGAAAAGGCGCACGCAAGTCGGGCCCTTTGATCAGGTGGGCTAAGGTCTCTCCCTGTAGAAGAAAGGTCATGCGCTTACACCGTCAGGCAGGTGACTGGCTGCTCTGGAACTGCACGTAATAGAGAACGCCGAGCCTGGTGTGTGGGCTGTAGTGCTAGAGCTCCACACAGGGTGGGCAGCACCAAGAGGAGCCTGTTCTGCCACCGTGGTGCCACCGTGGTGCCATGGGGCTGCTGCAGAGGAGCAGTGGAGCGTGCAGTCCAACTCACAGCTGAGCAACCCCTGGCTGACTGTTCCCCAAACGTTATGCTTCGTTTGCAGTTCACTTGTTTAGACATGAAAGTGATGCCCAAAGTAGAAAGTTAGTGCTTTTCAAGACGGTAGAATCAGTTAGAGACTTGCATTTGTTTCAGCTGATCAAACACTAGGCTCAGAAGAGGCATCTGTAAGTATTGAGTGAATAAATGCAAAGATGAACTACGAGGCCTTTCACAAGATGAGTGCATATACAGTGAGCACGCCTCTGGCTTTTTGCAAATTCATACTGGGATTTACAGATGGGTTTGGCCAGCCCTGACATTCAGCCCAGCAACGCTGCAGTCACAGGCCTGGTGCTAACTGCTGCTTTTGGCTTGGTCTCCTCTCTGTAAA